GGCTACTGAGCGGGCCTGTTCTAAGTGGAAAGTAGTTTTTTTGTTTTTTTAGAAATTTACCCACTCAAATCTATTTCCAGATTGATGCATATGAAGTGGACATGAGCCTTGATTGGCTGAAATTGGCGTCAGATGGAGAATGGATGTTTCCAATCTGTGGGGAAAGTCTTCCACAAAGGCATGAAGGTAAAGCAAAATGGATATATCTCTGATGATATGCTGAAAATAAGAAAGAACTAATTGTTAACTTTTCTCAATGTTTGATCTTCAGGGTGGTATTGATGGAAGTGGTTCTCCAGTACCATTAACAGCCTATGTGTTGATTTCCCTCCTTGAAGCGGGTGAAGTGACAAGCAGTCGTGCAGTCATGAAAGCAACCTTCTGTTTAGATGCTGATACATCCAAGGATCCCTACACTTTAGCTTTGAAAGCCTATTCGCTTTCTCTCGCTGATTCCCCTAAGGCAGAACAAGCAGTGCAGAACCTTATTAATATAGCAGAAGAGACCACCAATTTAATGCACTGGGAGCTTCCAGCTGGTTCAGGTATAATTGCTTATAATATTTTTATCCTGGGATTCTGAATATGGGACATAATTCCAACAAGAGTTGTAGAATGCTGTAGCATATTGTTTCATCAGTGATCCTGAACATTAACCCGACGGGTATGGCATGTACGTACATGTCATGCATATTGTGAGTTTACTTATTAAATTGGTTTTACACATAGATGTCTACACTTGTACTAAATCATCAATGAGCTAGTTGCGTGTATTGACTGTCTCGCCCTTTCACCCTTTTCCTCGATTTACGAAATATTTAACGTTATCTCATTTTGCTGTTACACGCACTCGTGTATGAACTCTTGTCCGCAACGCAGTAACAACAAACACTAAGTCTTGTGCCACAAGAGCTACCCTGGAGCCCGGGGCCTCTCGTCTCGCTTGACATTGTTGTTCGTGAGTTTCTTCGAAATAAAGTAAAACCTGTAAGTTACAGATTCTTACGCTTTGCCAGCACCTTCAGTGCTGTTGCTTTTGCGGGTGGCACGAGGCAGTAGGCCTAGTCAGCACCCCACCTCAGACCCGCAGCTCTCTTCTACACTAGGGTACCCTTTGTGGCTTTGACCCCTGGGTAGGGAGGCCCAGTATTCTGGGGCGTCATTTGGGCGCACTTTTTCTTATTTTCTAAATTCTTTTCCTCATAATGTGACTTTCCTGAGCCTATGAACTCGTGAACTCCCGTATTCGCTTGGGGGTGGGCATTGAATTACCGTCCTTTGCTTAGGCAAGTTCGGCGGTAAGGAAGGTCCCCTCTGTGGTACTGGAGAATGCAGCCAGGCTTCCACTGAGGGGGTTGAGGACGTTAAACTGCCTTACTCTCTTAGCTATGTCTGTTAGGTTGATACCAAAAGTTAAGAGTTTTTGATCCAAATTTTGAGACCAGGGATCGGACCTGGTCCGATACCCAGAATGATTGATTCCTTGGCTACCCCTTCTCATCCTCAAGGAGGAGGGGCGACTCATGACCACTCTTTGAGGAATTCGACTACGAACAATGGTACCCCCACTAACGACCAAACGAGATGACCACTCTTCAAAATCCCAACTGAGAATGCGAGGTTCGCGAATGTAAAATGCGTGAATAAAAATCAATCGCTTCTGAACGTTAACCCTTTTATCATCAAAAGGTCCTTGATGGTCAAGTGGACGGCGATTTTGATTTTGTCAAAAAATTGCGAGATGGAAGCCTCCTTGTTAAAGTACAATACAACTCCCAGATTAAGGATTTACTGAAGCTGACGCAAATTCATGATCTCTGAGTTAAAGTAACTATTCCTATTGGCCCAAATACCTGTAAGGGAGTAATCTTTTCACAGGGATTTGAGGACGATGGAAGAAAGTGAAATTCTCGAAAGCATGAAGGACCAAGACGTAGTGGACGTTCATTGTATGACCAAGAAGGACGGGAATATGCAAACGAAAACTTTTTTTGACCTTTGCCTTGAATAAAATCCCAGAGTATGTCAATGTCGGTTATGGACGTGTTCAAGTAAGACCTTATGTCCAAAAGCCAATGCACTGTAATAGATGCCAAAAATTCGGACACACCTCATTAAGATGTATTGATAAACACTACTAAATTTACCTTGCCGTAAATGTGCTGAAGCCCATGACACTATCACATGTACTAGCCAGATTTCCAAATGTGCTAACTGTGGAGGTCCCCATCAATCAGGATCTGCCGAGTGCAGCATCCTGAAGAAGGAGACTGAGGCATTAGCATATATGAGAAAACATGATGTTAGTTATACTGAAGCTAAGAGGAAAGTTGAAAGTTTGACACACAAACCCGATACTTCCTATGCTGCAGCACTAACTAACAACACCCATAGTACAAGTGATGTCAGTCAACAGCTTGCAGCTAAGGATAAGGAAATTGCCGAACTCAAACAAACTGTGAAAGAATTGAATATTAAAGTTTATCAACTGTCTAACTTGGTCGATCAAATGGCTGCAACAACCCAGCATAAACAACATAAGGAGGATGATACCGAATCACAGTCCGGAGCACACCTTCCCATCCGGGCTACTCCTGTGAGCGTCAAGCTCGAACTAGTTGGAGAAACCATTGATGATAAAGTAAACAATATTCAGAATTCGATTATGAACTTCGACAGATAGTGTTAAGCATAGAGTTCCATGGTGGACACCAGATTGCCGCAGGGCACTGTGCCGACGCAATAAGGCCTACAGATTTTTCAAAAATAACATTACTAATGAGAACTTTTGGAATTACAAACTAGCAAGAGCTAGGGCTCTTAGAGTAATAAGACAAGCAAAAAGAGACTTCTGGCGGAGCTTTGTCTCTACAATAAACGGTAACACAAAACATCAGAGGTTTGGTCCACTATCAATAAATACATAAGAAAAAAATCTTTCAAAATCATTAACATCATTGAAGAGGGCATTAATATCGATTCACCTAGAGACATTGCTAATGCACTTGCCGGGCAGTTCTCTCATACAAGCAGCTCAGACAATTACCATCCCGCCTTCCTGCCGATCAAGGAAGCGGCTGAGCTGCAACCAATTCACTTTGCCACAGGAGATGACTTTGATTACAATAAAGATCTTACAATAAATGAGCTTGTCCGATCCCTAGAAGCCTGTAGAGGAACATCCCCAGGCCCCGATGAGATTCGATATGTGATGATAAAGCATCTTAATCATGATGACATGATTAAGTTGCTAGAAGTGTATAGTGACATTTGAAAAGCCACACTTTCCAAACTCATAGCACATTTTTTGAATACCAGTCATTTACTAGTTGACTAGCAGTGTGGTTTCCGAAAGGGACGCCAAACTCTCGATCAACTAGTAAAGCTGGACAATCATATTCAAGAGGCAATTGCCCAAAAAAAAAAAAAATAGATTTCAGCATTTTTAGACATGGAAAAAGCCTACAACATGACATGGCAATATGGCCTACTCAGAAAACTTTATGCTTTTGGATTACGTGGAAACTTGCCTTGTTTTACTCAAAATTCATTTCAGACAGAACGTTTGCTGTCAAATTATTTTCTGACGTCACTTTTTCGGACATTTTTGTTCAGGCAAACGGGTCCCACAAGGAAGTGTCTCGTCACCAACATTATTTCTATGTATGATAAATGACATCTTACCAGCTCCTCCTCGGAATCTTAAATACTCACTGTACGCTGATGATTGCGCATTATGGCACTCCAGCAATAATGCAGAATTCTCAGCAAATCGCATCCATTTGGCACTGGATATGATTCATAACTGAGGCCTCCAGTGGGGTTTTAATTTTTCTATTAGAAAGAGTATTGGGGTAATTTTTTTCACATAGGAGGAAGCCGAACCTCAGGCTAACTCTAGACCACCACCCAATACCTATTCAAAATTCTGCTAGATTTCTTGGGCTACGTTTTGATAGTAGACTCAATTGGAAAAACCACATTGGTCAGTTAAAGAATAAATATCAAAGAGCACTAAATTTATTAAAGTGCATTTCTGGTAATAAATAGGAGCTGATAGACAGTATTTGCTAATGATATAGAAAGCCCTGATTAGGTCTAAAGTACATTATGGGTCAATCGTGTATGATTCGGCATCAAGAACAAGTTTGAAAGGTTTGGATGCTTGTTTGCGTGTGTGTGTTGGAGCCCTGAAATGTACTCGGATCGAGCGTCTTGAGGTGGAGTCAGGAGTACCTCCCCTCCGACTCAGACGCAGCCAGTTAGCCCTGACCTATGCCGCGAAGGTGGCTCGAGACCCGAACCACCCTAATGGCAATGTAGGCATTAAGCTTTGCCACAAGACTCCACGACCTCGTCGAGAAAGTCGGTATACATCTCTCTACCATCGATACCTTGGTTCAATCAAATATAGCGCCATGGGAAACCCCCATTTTTTCTATCATGGAAGCCTGGCTTTCATCAGCCAAGGCCATGGCGCCGGAGATGGAGGTACGTCAGAGGTTCAGAGAGATCCTTATTAAACATCTAAACTTTTTTCATATATATACCGACGGCTCCAAGACAGAAGATTGTGTGGGTGCGGGTGTATGGTCGACTGAATGGGAAATAAAGTTCAGACTGCCGATTCATACATCGATCTGTCTTGCTAAACTTTAAGCCATCGATTTTGCACTATCGACGACCCACGATAGAATAGTTATTTTTTCAGATCCATTAAGTTCACTTAAAACTATTAAATCCTTAGAAACCACTAAAAATGAATTGCTGGGTAATACCATTCGTAAGTTACAAAGTGCCAACAAATCAATCAAGCTAATATGAGTGCCAGGCCACTCTGGTATCCATGGCAATGAACAGGCTGACAAATTAGCCGGGTCAACTGGCGATCTGGACACTACCACAGTTCGTACAGATCTCAGGTGTTTTGTGTCTCTTATAAAAGCAAAAATACATTTGTGGCAAAGTAGTGGACCAACCTCCAACTCAGAAACAAAATCAAGAACACCATTGAACCATGGGACACATCCCACAGGAAGGAAAGAAGGGAGTTGGTGTTGGCCCGTCTTAGGGTCAACGCCTCAAGACTTAACCACCTCACTCCCTACATAGAAAAGAAATACCCTCCAAGATGCCAGTTATGTAACACCAACATAACAATAAATCACATTTTAACATCATGCATAAAGTATAATAACCAACGAAAACATATAATAAATTATTTCAGAATGAAAAACAGAGATTTAACATTACCAAATCTATCAAACGATGAAAAAATGAATAAAGTAATTGCTTTTAAGGGAGACAAAACTTTATGACTTTATATTGGCTTAATAACCTTGGACACATGCCGCTGGTTGATAGCCAGGAAATCCGACAAAAGTAAAAAAAAAAAAAAAAAAAGCTGTTACAAATGTTTATAACTTTATAGTAATTATAATGTTTGTAATCAAAATAATACCATCTATATTTATAGCACTAGTAAAAATATTTTTTTTGCACCAATTCAAGGAAAGGTGAAATCCATGTAGTAAAAGGGACATTTCACAAGAATATTTTAAAAAATGAGCACAACATTTTCCCCGTTTTTCATTCATTTTCCCTGGTGGCAATGGGTTAAGCTTTGCCTTTTTTCAAATCTGGTGTAGCAGGGTTGTATAATAATGTGTATGTATTGTATCTCCAGAGTTATAAGATTCCCAGCAAAATGAATTATTAAGAAAGATGGATTTCTATGTTGTGGTAGAACATGTTTTGTAAATTTAGTTCTTCATTTACATTGATATGAGTATATCATCTAATACCTAATACAATCCCAGACCAAAACATTTCCTTATCTTATTCCTGTCATAATGAATACTGTATTTTTTTTGTTCTACTAAAGGAAAGAGTCAAGCTGTTGCTGTAGAGACAGCTGGTTATGCAGTTCTTTCAATGATGACCTTAGATGCAACCAAATTTGAGCTTCAAGCCAGAAAAATAGTGAAATGGATATCTTCACAGAGAAATGGCCAAGGAGGATTCATATCAACTCAGGTAAATTATTATACATGTACCTACCTACACACACACACACGCACATGCGCACGTGCACATGCACACATACACACACACATGCGCACGTGCGCATTCACACACACACACACACACACACACATGCGCACACACACATACATAAATACACACATGCACACACGCAAGCACGCACACACACATGCACACACACACACATATACATACATAAATACACACACGCACACATATACATACATATATACTTACATACGCACATGCATACACATACATACATAGGATTCATATCAATTCAGGTAAGTTGTTATACATGTACCTACCTACATACACACATATATATATGCATATATATATATATGCATATAGGAATACATGGATATATATATATATAATATATATATATATATATATATATTATATATATATATATATATATATATATATATTATATGCAGGTATATATGCACACACACACACACATATATATATACGTATATATATGCATATATATTATCTATATATATATATATATATATATATATATATATATATATATAATATATATATATATATATATATATATATATATATATATAATATATATATATATATATATATATATGATATATATATCTATATATATATATATATATATATATATATATATATATATCATTATATATAATATATATATATATATATATATATATATATATATATATATATATATATATATAATATATATATATATATATATATATATATATATATATATATATATATATATATATATATATATATATATATATATATATATATATATATATATATATATATATATAATGCATATATATATATATATATATATATATATATATATATATATATATATATATATATATATATATATATATATAATGCATATATATATATATATATATATATTATATATATATATATATATATATATATATATATAATCATATATATATATATATATATATAGATATTATATATATATATATATATATATATATCTATATATAATGCATATATATATATATATATATATATATATATATATATATATATATATATAATAATGCATATATATATATATATATATATATATAATATATATATATCTATATATATATATATATATATATATATGCATATATAAATGTATGGATATAAATCCGATATGCGAAGCTGAGCCTCGCCCGGGCTATGAGGGGAGCCCGGCCTGTGTCGACAAATGTCGATTCGCTAACAGTGTGTCAGCTGGTACTGACTCGGCTTAGTCCTTACCCGCCGTGGTGCCCAGCCACAGCAGTAACCTCCAGGCGACAATTGCAACTTCTCGCCCCGCCCCCTTGGATGAGAGGCCGACACGTTACCACTGTACTAGCCCTGATACTTCCAGTTTTACTATATGGTAATGAAACATGAACGCTCTCTTGTGCTTTGGAATCTCATTTTGATGCCTTTTGTAACAGATCTTTGTGCCGGATCGTGGGGTACAGTTGGTATATATGTGCATATATATATATATGTGTATGTATATGCATATCTATATATTCATATGTATATTTTTATATTTATATGTAGATATGTATATATATATATGCATTTGTATACATATGTATGTCTATATATGTATATTAATATTTATGTACATATATGTACATATGTAAAAATAAAAAGATAAAAAATGTGTGTGCATTTCTATGTGTGTGAATTGGTAAAGAATAAATAAATTCTGTTGTGGTGAGGTTGAGGTGGTCTGTTGATCTGCTTGGCAGCTTGCCAAAAGGGACTACCATAGATTGAGGTAAAGGATGAAACAGTTATTTACAAATTACATTTTCATTTTCATTTACATTCATATTCATATATACATAAGCACGTAATGAGAAAAAAGTAATGAGAATTTGATATAATTTCATTTACAGGATACTGTTGTTGCACTCCAAGCTCTGGCGAGTTTCGAGGCTCACCAAAAGAAAGAGGCTGTCAACCTGGTCATCACTGTGGAAGGTGAAGCACTTGAGCATGCATTCTTTGTAGACGAATCCAATAAACTTCTTCAACAGCAAGTGAATCTGCCATCACTACCTTCCAATGTCATTCTGGACATGGAGGGAGAAGGATGTGCCCTTGTTCAGGTGAGTGTTGCAAGAAGGATGTAGATTCAGTTTAATTTTGATACAGGTTTTGTAGATTGTTAAGTAATAGAGAGATCTAATGTCCCAATTTCTTTGTTTGCCTGCTTCTTTCCCTATCTCTTTCCCTTACCTTGTCCATCTTCTTCCCCCTTCTTGTTTCCCTCTTCTTCTCCCATTCTCTCTCCCTCTCCCTCTCTTTCTTCCCCCTTTCCCTCTCCCCACCTTATCCTCCCCTCCCTCCCTCCCTCTCTCCTTCTCCCTTCTCTTTCTTCTTCCCCACCCCCTCTTTTTCTCTCTCTCCATCTCCTCTCCCTTCTCCCCTCTTATTTGGGAACCTCTGCTCATACAGGTCAAAGCCATAACAGATGTATTTCATAGTTGTTATTTTCCCCCCAGACTGTCCTGAGATATAATGTTCCTGATGCTACAGCAAGTGATGCCTTTTCCTTGTCAGTCACCACTGAAGCAATCGCAGATAGGAAATGCATTACAAAGAAGATTAAGGCTTGTGCTTCCTACTTATTATCTGATCAGAAATCCAACATGGCTGTTATGGAATTTAACTTAATTTCTGGATACATACCACATAAAGCGGACCTTAAACAAGTTGTTGGTTATGGAACTGGCATAATCAAACACTATGAAGTTGATGGCAGCAAAGTTATGTTCTACATTGATGAATTTTCACCTGAAGACCTTTGTGTGGAGTTCCGAGTAATTCGGGAAATTGATGTTGAAGATGCCAAGCCTGGGACTATTAAGGTGTATGACTATTATCAGCCCGAGTTCTCCATAAGTAAGGTAATACATTAAGAAAATTTTTAGTTGGCAGTGAGGCAGGTAGACTGGAATAGAGGGAGAAGGAAAAAAAAAAAAAGTGAGAATGTGTGAGCATAACATGGACTGGATAGTGTGAGAGGGTTATGAAGAGACAAATAAGTTTGAGAATGATTAACGATTTCATATATATATATATATATATATATATATATATATATATATATATATATATGTATTTATATATATATACATATATACGTACATACCATTGTCTTTATGTATTCATAACTAATTGGCACTTTCTCTTTCACAGAGTTATGTTCTACCACCTCCAGATGAATGCAGAATCAGTTTGGTTCCCATTGAAGCTATTGCCATTGAAGGAGATATCATTGTAGAGCCAGAAAATGGAACGACCACTCCCTCATCGGCTGTTGGAGATTTTGTTGCCTTATTAAATGAAATGCCTTGAGGATAAAAGAAAAATAAGTATATCTAATAGTGGCATGCTTATTGTAGATCATGTTAACTTGTTGCTATAGTGTAGTGTTCATATTCACCTGTCAAGCAAAAATTATATATATATATATATATATATATATATATATATATATATATATATATATATATATATATATATATATATTGTTTTTGGTTAGGAAACAGAAATGGAATGGGTTATATGTGGATTTAAAAAAAAATCCTTGCTTTGGAAGAATGATAACGAAGCCTGTTCTTCAAAGGTATCAGTAATTTTAAGGTTATTTTTATAGTTTTTATTTTGTTAAAGAATGAGGTAAACCTTAGATACCATAATATTCAGTGGTTTGAAGTGTATGAAGGTATACAAATGGATTTAATTTTTTTAAAAGAAAATCTGTCACATTTTGTATTTTCTGCATAAACATTGTAAAGTTGAACATGGAACGATTTTGTAATATCCCATGGAATGTATCATAATATTTTGGGAAGATATTTTACGATGAAATGAAATTTGAATTGGATTTTAGTATACACAAGCTTTTTTATATCCTGGTGCGAGAAAGTAGAAGTTTTAAAAATGTAAACTTAAAAAAAGAAAATGAGTATATATATATATATATATATATATATATATATATATATATATATATATATATATATGTCAAGGTTCTAGGATATACGTGTATATTCAGAATTACAGATCTGGGTAGAAAATAAAATTCCACCGACTTGTTCACACAGGAAAAAGAACAAAAAAACTCAACGCCGAAACACAGTTCCCCCTCAAGTGGCTATATATGTCTCGCCGACTTGAGCACCAGAGAAACCCCTTAACCAAATTAAATAACTATCGTTAATCTTCTAACATGTCTCTGACGTAGGTCAGCAATCAGGAACCAAAATGGACGTCTCTCTGCCCGGCCCTTGGCTGGAGTAGAGTCCTGTTAATTGATATTAACAACATATAAGTTATAAATTATCACATATAAAATAGTAATAGAAACCATTTTTACTTCACAACTAAATATTTCTTTCAATACCCGCGATAACCAACCCGCAGAAACAACCTTACCTCGACAGGCGAATAGTGGGAACTACAGAGTAGGCCTAAGCACCTGCACACGTAAACCTGATTCGAATCATTTGAACGAACTAAACCAAACCATAATTCTTTTTATATTTCATAGTAAATACTGAACGAAATTTCACCATTTAATTAGTAATACCTTGACAATATATATATATATATATATATATATATATATATATATATATATATATATATATATTAGATATATATATAGATAGACATTTGTATATAGTTAGTTAATTATACAGATAGATTTGTATATATAAATAGATATTTATATATAGATATATATGTAGATAGATATTTATATATAGGTATATATTTATACCTAGATGTTTATACATATCTATATACATATAGATATACTTACACATATAGATATACATATAGATATACTTACACATATAGATATACATATAGATATACTTACACATATAGATATACATATATAAATATACTTATACATATATAGTATAGTTCAAGGTGTCTTCCACATAACTCGATCCCTCTTTGGTGCTGGAGAACGCAACCAGGCTTCCACTGGGGAGGTAGAGGACGGAAACTGCTGTACTCTTCTCTTAGCTATTGCTGTTAGGTTGATCATTAATAGTTGAGGGTTATCTTCAGGATAACCGCTTTTAAACGGACGGCGATTTTGATTTGGTCCGTAAATTGCGAGATGGTAACCTTGTAAAAGTGCCATTCAACTCCCAGGTTAATGACTTAATTAAATTGACGCAGATTCATGATTTGAAAGATAAAGTAACTATCCCTATTGGCCCAATACCTGCAAAGGATTAATCTTTAACAGGGATTTGAGGACAATAGAGGAGATTATGAAGGACCAAAGTGTAGTAGATGTCAACTGTATGACCAAGAAAGACTGAAATGTGCAAACAAAAACCGAATTGTGTGTCATAGTTGGATACGAACGTGTCCAAGTGCGACCTTATATTAAAAAACCTATGCACTGTAATAGATACTAAAAATTTGGACACACCTCATTACCATGCAATGATAAAGATACTAATAAATTTACTTGTGGTACAGGTGCAAGGACTCGTGACACTGCTGAATGTATTGAGAACACTCTCAAGTCTGGCTTTGCAGTGTGCAGCAGCTTGAAGAAGGAGACATGAGAGGGCATGCTGTTAGTTACCGTGAAGACAAGAGGAAAGTTGAAGGTGTAACCAGCAAACTTAGTACTTCCTACACTTCAGCAGCAACTAACAATACTCCCAATGCAAACAGCATCAGTCAGGAGCTTGCGACTAAAGATAAAAGAAATTGCAGAATTAAAGGAAACGGTTGAAGAATTAATAAGTCAGATTAAAGAATTGAATAATACAATTCAATAAATTGCTGAGTCTACCCAGCAAAAGCAGCCTCATCAGCATCTTAAGGAGAATGATACCAAAACACAATTTTGATGACACTTCATCCAGGTGGCTCCTGCTAGGACTTTGCTGGTTTTTGGGTCTGTTTCTCAGAACAGATCATCTACTGGGCGTATCCCTGGCAGCGAGATGCAGGACATAGAGGTTACTGTCTTTAAAAATACCCATGGATGCCCCAAGGGTAGTGAGGGAGAGGAGGACGAACCTCCGTCCCAGAAAAAAAAGAAAATTAAAATCGGCGGACAAGGCCCTTCCAAATTCCACAAAACATAATCTTTGCTTTAACCATTATACTATGGAACTGTCTTAGAACTAAAGTAAATGACCTTAGATTATTAGTCTTCTCTTATGCTCCCGATATTATAGTTCTCCAAGAAACGCATTTAATCAACCTCGTGTCAGATGAAGTCTTTTCGCTGAGGAACTACCATCAGTGTCGAAAGGATCGTGAGGGTAGGGGTGGAGGCAGAGTCGCCATGTACATCCACCAAAGCCTCCCTTTCACTGAAGTGGCAATTGATTCTACTTTGGAGTATGTCGCATGCAAAGTAAAAATCAATAACACGTCCCTGACTACATGTTTATTGTCCATCTGATAATGTGGTAATTTATGGTGAGCTTTTTGCTCTCCAGGATAGTCTGCTACAAAATAAATCAATATTAGATGATTTTAATGCTCATCATACGTTATGAGGTTCTATGCGGGCGGATGGTAGAGGTGAGCAAGTAGTTAATTTGATTAATGATTCTGATCTGGTCCCTCTGAACGATGCTAGTCCGACGCGGACGATAATACCGGTACTTTGAGCCTTATTGACCTATCACTGGTCTCTTCATCAATAACCGGCTCGTTGGGAAGCGATCACCTTCCCATTTAGATTGAATATTCATGCGACACAACAAGAACGCATTCAGCGTCTATATTTAACGAAAAAGAGCAAACTGGGTCGTCCTTCACAAGGAGCATCAAGCTCGAACAATGAACAATATTTAGAATTCGATCTTAGAAGCAGCAATGATATCCATTCCTAAAACTTCGACAGATATCGTTAAGCATAGTTCCATGGTGGACACCAGATTGCCGCAGGGCGCTGTGCCGACACAATAAGGCCTACAGGCTTTTCAAAAATAACATCACTAATGAGAACTTTTAAATTACAAACAGCAAGAGCTAGGGCAATTAGATAAGCAAAAAGAGACTCCTGGCAGAGCTTTGTCTCTACAGTTAACAGCAACACCACAATATCAGAGGTTTGGTCCACTGTCAATAAATAATAATAATGCTACGCCAGAGGGTCTTTGTCTTTGTGCGAACGCGTGTTAACGTGTGTTAGCATGAAAATGACGCGGCTGGCTGAGGAGCGGGAGGAACGGGAGCAGGCGGGGAGACGAGTTTTGGTGCCGCTCCCGTGATGACCTCGCGTGTGCCCTTCTCCAGCCTGATATACTTTGTGTTGCCCTGTTATAAGTTGTATTGTGCAGTGTGACGTGCTGGTTTGCCTCCTGTATTGTGCCTATAGAAAAGTGTACGGGTAAATAACTGGTGTAAATAAAGGAAAGACTGTCATTGTGAGCTTTTTCTTTCGTGCCCTGCCTCGCCCTGGCGTTTCCCCTCGTGGTGTTTTGGGACGGCGTGGTACTCGGTGCCTCTTGGAGCTGTTCAGTGTTCACGACCTTGTGAATAACACGCGTCTGCCTAGCCTGCCTCGTGTTGGTGGCAGGTAGAGAGGCGGCCGGCGTAACAATAATAATAAAAAAATTAAGGGAGCCAATTTCGATTCACCTAGAGACATTGCCAATGCACTCGCCAGGCAGTTCGAACTTGTCCGAGCCTTCTGAGTCTAGCCGCCGTAGCGATCGGACGTGTTTTTGCTATTGTCATAAGAGGGACTGAGGGACTCAGCAAACCATGCCGTCACATGGTCCCACAAAGTCAGAGGGCATCCTGACTACCCTCCCCGGGTCGAAGGGGGCCAGCCAGGGGGCTTCCCCGGTGCTTCCTCGGGCAGCTAGCCCGAGCTCTCTTCTCCAGAGTGAAGGGGAACCCTTGGCCCAGGGTATCGTGCCCCCTCCCCAGGGTAACGGGGCTCAAGGCAACAGGCCCCACGGCAGCGCGGGTCAAAGCTGCCCCACTGCCCATGTTAATGGGCACCCCCTCGACAGCCGGGGTCAAGGCTGCCCCTCGGCCCAAGGTACAGGGCTACTTAGCAACCCTGGTATCCTTCCAATGAAAACAGTGCATCCAGTGACAACAGTGACGACATTGATAACAGTGATTACAACAAAAAAGCAGTGTATCAAATAGGCAACATAACAGTAGTGCTGAACACCATCCTTTGCTTTATCGCAACAAAGAGAGCATGGGCAAGGATGGTCTTGTGCGACCATATAAAGAAGCTGTACAGCCCTGAAGAAATTAATCAGGCTCACAACATCATTTAGACATATCAGGAATCTAGAAAACTAAGGAACACGACACGTGACATCAAAAGGATGATAATGGTCATCGTGCATACAATGATTGACCAGTGTTTGATTAATGACAAATTAGTGTTCGCAACGACAACAACAAACAATCTAATTACAGATTGGTCACCACCAAAAAAATCCACACCCTTTGTAATTTTTTCCCACAAATCAAGTCACCAAGGTACCCAGACACATAACGAGCCAGCTATCAATCAAGACATCATCGAAAACAAGAAAGACTTGCTGATTGGAATGTTCTGTGACCAGCAGTCCACCATCAACAAATTACATGGCTAAAACTCTCAGAAGCAGGAATGCGAAGAGGCAGCATCACTCGCAGCAGTTTCACCCCCCTTCCCCCAAACCCCCTCCTCCCTCCCCTCTCCTGCCCACGACCAGTCCTCCTACCAACCCTTCCCTTTCGCATCCCCTTCCCCTGTGAGAACATCTTCTACCTCCACCCTGCAAGATCTTGAACACTCACACGACCCTCCTCCCCATACAACCTCTACGCCTGTGCCCACCCCCCGCAATACCCCCTCCCCTCCCTCTCCAGCCGCCCCTAGCCAGCCGACCCACG